TAAATGGTTCTGATACAGTTGTTATTAGGACAACACAAGATGTACCTGGATCCAGACCAAAACAATCGTGGAAATCTCTGCATCGTTTCCTTGGGAATTAGGTCGGTGCCAGTTCTCTTGGCAGAAGGGGTTGCAGGTAACCTCTTATGTGCCACTCCCTCATGCTGGCTTTTGCTTCACAATCAAGCAGTCTTTACTTTGTCCAGCATCTTCAGATTGTACTTTTTCCTGCAGTCAAAAATATCTCCCTTCCCTTGTCCCATAGACGAGAGTCTGTGCCTTTTTGTCACTGTTCCAATTATTTTGAGCTGTATGATATAATAGCATTACCACTATCTTTGCTCTTGTGGAAAATCTCAGTGCTCTCCAAAAAAGCTGGAAAAATACTGTTGTTTCAATCCACCCACCACCTGTTTGAATGTGATTACATTACAGCAGTCATCAATTAATAATGTCCCTTGTCCTTAGTCCAGAAAATGCATAATGCAGTTCTGCATCACAAAGCTGACTGACCTCATTAAAATCTGAAAACTATTGTGTAAGAGATTTCATAAAGTAATTCTCGGGCTGTTTGTAGAGATTCCCTGAATCACTACTTAAGCTTTTAAACTGTAAAAGCACTAATTAAAAAAAGGGGTTTGGGGGCAGTTGGAGTATGGGATGGAGGAAGAAATAGGACAATAATAAATTCAATTAAGAAAAAAAAGGGACAAGTACTCGTGACTACAATGTGATCTGTTTTCAAGAATAAAGAGATGAACTGTATGGTAAGAATCAGGTTTCATGTTTGTTTCTTTCCACCCCAGCCTTGTAAGCATGGGCTTCTTAAATTCTTTTTTTTTTTAAATATAATTTGTTTCAGGCTGCTGTGGTCGGCAGTGTTTGGGATGTGACTCAGAACAGCACTCTCTAGTTAATAGCATTTGCCACTCACCTTAAAAGTTATAGCTCTATATGGGAAAGAAGAAAGAGAAGGGAACACAAATGAGCAGAAGTTTGAGGTTTTATAGAATTCTTAGCTCCACTTTGGATCTGCCATCAATTGAGCTGATTAAATAGGAAATGTACTTTTAGTCCTTCCTACAACATGCTCCACAGCTGGTTCTGTTTTCTGTCGCAGTGGCTCTTTTTGCATGCCGATGCCTATTGCACAAGACAGAAAAGTTCCTGGCACCACTTCTGTTACTGTGAAAATTCTTTATAAAGCACAGTTCCCCCCACATTCTCCCTCCCCCATCCCAGGTTGCTTGAGGCACCATGGCAAGCCTCATGGTCTCTCTATCATAAAAAATACGTATTTCCCCGTATGGTAAGTCAGAAGACTGATGGTAACAGGAACAGAAGGAAAACTGCCACTTGAACATAATGTTTGTGCAGAGGGAGAATTTGATTGATGTAACATCAAGAAACGTTAGACACAATGCCATGTCAAGTTAGACAACATGCAAGGTTTGCTGAAGAATGTGTGTGCTGGAAAAGTAGCCAGCCCTCTGGGGACAAGCATTGGCTCCAGTAGGTCTTTAATATGTGGAATAGTTGCTAATGGACCCACATCTCTTCTCATTAGAGAAGCCTGGGAGGTTATGAAGAGTACAATTTACTCACCCAGACGCATTATCCCAGGGAATAAGAGGTTACACAGCCTCACAAAGTTCTGCCAATGTTGGCACACCACCTCCTCCACTGCTCCTGAGCTCTAGAAGCCATTCTTGCCTATGGAGCCTGCTCGCTCTGGGTTCCTTGTGGCTGGTGGGCGCTTGCTTCATGCTGGGCAAGGCTGTGGTCAGCCTGGTCAAGCACAAAGCTGTCTTCCAAATCTGCTGTCTCTGCCTGGTTCACACTGCCGGCCTCCACGAGGCTTGTTTGCCTGGGTTGGATTTCCCAGCTGTAGGAGGATGTTGGATGAGATGTGTCATACGTAGCTGACTTACAGGCACACTCTTCCGAAGAGACATTTTCTGGTGCTGTGGGGACAAACAGACTTTAGGTGATGACTCACAGCCACCATGTTGAGCTTCCTCAACTGAGTAGGTTTTGCTGGTGTTTTCCAGAACTCTGGCATTTTCCCTTACATCTGGGTGAGCAGACACTCCTCCCTGAGAATGTGGCTATTGACAGTGTCAGGGTATCCACTTGCATCACGGCCACGCTCTGTATAGGCTCTTACAATTGATCTCCATGACATCATCTTCTCCAAGTTGTGTGAGGCCTGAGGGGGGGATCCTTTTGTGCAGTAGGTGCAGTGGGATGGGGCCCTCCCTGACACTGTTGCACAGCCCGTTACTCCTTCAAACAGTTGATGCCGCTCACAAATTGAAAGAACAAGACAAGGAAAGCATTTGCATAGGGACCAGCAGCACCGCACCTGGAAAATGCCAGTGTAACAGTGGAGGTCCCGTCTGGTTATGGTCAGTGCTTCACTCCTACTTCCCTCAAGGTCCTCTTTCTTCTTCCCCTCCAGCGACTCAAACCTCACCTTCCCTGGGAGCCATGTATGTCCTTCTTCCTTCCGCTCTTTCCTCAGCTGCCTTCTCCTCATCTTCCTCCCCTGAGCACCTGCCAGACAGACCCAGGCTAGGGACTGTGGTCTCCCCAAGTTCTGGGTGAGATGTTTGAAGCAAGAGATTTTTCCAATTTTATAAGCAGAATTTCCCTTTTGTGAGGATGCTGCCTATACTCCTGCAGTCCCATCTCAAAGAAACCAACCTCCCAAAGAGGCTCTTCTGGTGCTCTATTAACCACACCTTGTGGCTGAAACAGCATTCAAACAGCTCCTGCAGTTTTTGATCCCTCATATCTTGTTCCCCTTTCCCATCTCCCTGCTTCAGGAGGTCATGGGGAAAGGATGAAGCCAGTCAAGGTGCGCCTGCAGAAACCTGGCTTGATGTGACATTTTGAAACTGCTCCTACAACAGATGGTGTGACCAGGGGGAGTGCAGAGGGGCAGGGTTGTGCGTGCTCAGCTCTGAATACCTGGCAAGGACAAAATCCCTCAGGAGGAGCAGGTGCACCGACCGCCTAACATTGCAGTCGTACATGCAGGGACCGTGTGCAGCTGTCAGAAAACCGGGCTTGTTTCTGTGCACCATACAACTACTGCTGCTTTACACACAACTAAGGCCTATGTTTATCGCTCTGCAGTTGCCTTTCTGTGTGGGACAGTGAGGCAATTCTACAACCCCCCAGCTCAAGGCAGCACGAACCAGCGACACTTGTCCCCCGTCTGCTGCTCTATCAGTCGCCTGAGCGCGGCCTCTGAGCCTCCTCTCTTCTCCCTCCTGCCAACATGGATATCCTCCTCTAGGCACCTCAGCTGCAAGCTGTTCCTAGGAACTTCTCCTGTTGACAAAATCATTTATGGCCTTCGCAGCTGTTGGCCAAAATGCTGGGCTCCTCCTTGTGTCATGTGCTGCGTGCTAAAGGGAGGCTATCTCGTGGCCCGTGAGACGTGGGGTTTTTTTGCATAGCGACTTCTAGACAAAGTCATGCGTATGCTGCGGATTGCGAGGGACTCTGGCACAAAACAGAAGGCACATCGTTCTCACTGCACAGATGGGTCATCAGCGTCTGCCTCTTGAGTAGCACGGGATTCACAGTTTCATAAAAGATATCTCATCCCAGAAGAAAGGAATGCAACTAAAGCAGCAGAAAATAATGAAAACTGAAAGAAGGGTAGCCTGACTTGAAGATCGCCAAGGCTATGACAGAAGCACAGGTTTTATTTTGATCCAAACTAAGGGTAAAAATGGCTCTGGATATTGAGGGCCCTTTCTCCTGTGACAAATCTGGGACTCTTCCGTTACCTGCTGCTCTTCTTCATAGCTGGTGTGAGTCCACATATTGCCAGGTACAGCTATAGATCCTGGAAGTTTCGGAAGACATGCTACTTTGCACACTGACAACTTACTAACTGGAACGTCATCCCTACCCTCAGTAAACTATCTGGTGACAGTAGTCACTACAAACTGACACCCTGTAACTTGCCGAGAAAGGTATGTGTTTCAGCTCCACCTCCTCTCTGTTCTAGGCAGACTTTTCCCCCCCTTTAACCTGAGGGAGATGGTATTATTACTTATTTATTCATATGATTACATACTTGCTTAACCCTGGCATCCCAGAACCTCTTGGGGCACCCAGGACCATACTGTGCCATGCAGAGTAGAAATACAGAACAGCTTGACTGGGGATTGGGCACTACTAAAAGTGCAAAGATGTGTAGAGAACAGGTATCTGCTGCGAAGGGAATCAGATGAGGTTTCGCCTGTGTGATTCACAACATCTAAGGCAGGCCAGTGCTCCTCTTAACCCAGAGGTCTTGTCACAGGAGAAGATGATGAGGTGCTAAAGCCTGTCTGGCTCTGATCCTTGTTGTTTGCTAGGTCAGTGTACTGAGTTGTCCCTCTGGGAGGTTTGATACAGAACTGAACAAGTGACACTTCTTCTGCCTGCTTGTGTATTTTGGCTGCTACCGCCCTTCCAGGAATCTGCACAGACTGCTGCCATTATCCGTTTGTGAGATTTCAGGATTGTTTGCAGATTTTCAAACTCAGGAAAAAGGAAAACTGAAAATGAAGCCAAGGGGCCAAGCAGAAGTGTCACGGAGATGTGACAGAAGTGCTGTGTGGAGGCAGAAGGGACCAGGAGGTCTTCCCTTCTTCAGATGCAATCACGTATAGTGAAATTTCTTGCAACTAATAGCTTCATATAACAAATTGAAGTGGGAAATCAGTCTTTGGAAAAGAAGCTTAAACAATTCTGCCAAAAACTTCACAACAAAGTCTTCCAAGTTTCCAAAATATGACGGAAAATATCCTTCGGGGTCAGCAAGCTGAACTACAAGCCCTTCCCAGGACTGCAAGCAGAAACACAGAAAGATGGATCCGTTCCAACAGAGGCTGCTGGGACCAGAAGCAGCGAGGGAAGACGCCACAGCAAACCGCTCCCACTTCACGCGCGGCACGGTCCACGGATTTTGGCGGCTGCCGCCGGGCAGGGCTGCCATGGCCCAGGTGCAGTTCAACGCCTGGCTGATCCTGTGCGTGTTTGCTGGATGCCAGAGGCTGACAGGTAGGCAGTGCACCCAGCGCCCCTGCCAGCAACGCGGCTTCTCGGCTTGGCAAACGGTGGGGCAATGCCAGTGACGCGACACTTTGCCTGCTTCTTCAAATACGATCAAGCGCTTCAGCTAGCTGTGCTGGCACGGGAGAGAGCTGGAGTCCCAGCTGGGGGTGTTCGCTGCGGGGAGGCATTTGTACCTACTTGCAGGAGGAAGACCTGCTGCTATTTTTGGTGTCAGGGAGAGGGTTTTCTTGGGTCTCTGCTGACAAAGTCTACTCCTGCAATAATATTTGTAGGTTTTCTAGATGCTTTTTTGGGGAAAAAAGCAACTGTTGAATGATAAAATAAGTAAGGGACCATTTTCCCATCTCCAGAGGATATTTATGTTATTATTTCAATACATTATTTGTTATGCTTTGTTTAATTTTTGTTTTACCCTACTCAAAAATCTAACACTGCATATATTTATGAGACAGTTAATAGAAACAGCAGTATTTGGCAGCTGTTCAACAAATTCCCTGACTTTGCAGCCAATCAGACGTCTGTCAGTAGAGGGATCTGTGAACCTAAGGGATCAGTTAGCAGAGAGAAGCCCAGCAAAGAAATTTTCAGATGATGTAGTATTTTTACCTGAGCTAAAAGCCTTGCTGGCACGTCCATGGAGGAGTAGGAAAGAGCAGCTACATCCCTGCTCACATTCCAAAGCCACAGCTGGCTTGGATCAGGGAGCCTGCAGCTGTACAGAGAAACAAATCTCGGCAGCCTGGGGGGTGGCAGTGCACTTCTTCAGGCAGCTTATACATCTCCCTGGAAAGCTTTAATCAAGAATGGAAAGTTGGAAGCGGAGTTTGGTAGTAGTCATCACACACATACAGTATTACATCATTTTTCTACTTTTTATAAGCACCTGCTGACCTTAAATCTGGAGTACTCAACATAAATTCTCACTCTTTTTTATATAAAAAAGCTGTCATCCATATAAAAATGAAAAAAAAGGTGTCAGACAGCTTACTGTTTTATATGAGCTTTTTGCATTTCATGTTTCTTGACCTGGAGGATGAGTCTGTAAGAAGTGGAAGAGGGTCTTGGCTACATGACCACACTGATCAACACAGAGAAGGGAGGAGATGCAGCCTCCCTCTCACAGTCCTGCACTGAGGCTACTTGTCCCTCCTTTTTCACAAAGAAACAAATAATAAAGGCAAAATAAATGCAGAAACTTAAAACGATAATAGTGTTTTAAGTATTAGTAAATGAAAACTGAAGAATTTTTAGGATTGATGTGACTCTCATATTAATAAACTCCCCTTTCTCTGGCCTTGTATCCATTTTCCCAGTTTAAATTATGTAGGTTGGCCCAGCAAGGAATTAGCTGGACGTGAGAAGAGCCATAATGGATCCGACCGGGTTTCTTTTACCCCGACACTCTGCCCCGCAGTGGCAGATGCTCAGGGAAGAACTATAAAACCAGGATAAGCATCAGGTTATGTTTCCACCAGCAGGTCGAGGAGCCTCCCCACACCTGTCTTCCGTTGGGCAGCATTACTTTCTCCAGCAAAAACTGCCAAGCAAGCAAAACTCATCAGTTCAAAACCCACCCATACTTGGCATGAGGGGCTTCCTTGCTGCCTGTCAAAGCAAGCACCTTTGCTGCCATACACTTTAGCTCTGTTGGCAGGATTAAGAGCTGTTGTATCCAAAATTTATGCTTGCCTCCCTTAACCACTTCTGCTTCTCTTAAAAAGCTTATTTTGCTCATCAAAATCCCGTGGTCAGCATCTGTCATGTTTGGCAAGCTATGAGTGGCAGCTCAGAAATATTGAAGACATTATTGACAACCGAATGCCAAACATAAACAGGAAGGGCTGTGGTCTTGTGCTACCAAACTCTGCCTGATGTCTTCCAGATGAACATCCTCACAGCAGGGATGGTGCCGGCGCCAACACACCCCATCGTGGCCCAGAGGATGCTGACATCATGTTAGAGGTCTCCTGGGCGCTGGGGGCCCATGGGCTGAGGCACTATTAGTGCCTGTGCTCCCACCTGCCTGCACGTAAAAACTCACACGTTCTGCTTGTTCTCATCCCTGCCGGATTTCTGGAGTGCCTGGAAAATGCCTCAGCGATGCCCTAAGCGCGTTTGTGCTCCCTCTCATCGCAGGGTGCAGCTAGAGGGGGCTCTGACCCCCTCCACGGCACCTCACACCTCCAGGGTGGGACAAAGACCATCCCCGCTGGGTTAGGTGACTCCTTCACCAAGTGGCCAAGCCCCCAACCCAAGGCGGCTGTGCCGGAGAGCCGCTGCGGGAGGGACTGCGGTGGGAGAGGCAGGGTGGGAGGCGAGAGCTGGACGGGTCCCACAGGGAAACAGAGGTGTGGGGCCGGTCAGAAAAGGGGTGTGGGGCTGGTGGAGAAGGACATGGAGTGGGACTAGGCGGACCGTGGGCAGCGAGTCAGGGAGTGGCCGTCTCTCGGTCCAGCCAGATTTGGCAGTGTTGCAGATGGCTTTATAGCTCGGTTCTAACTGGCAGAGGGTTTGTGCTGGGCTTCCCGTGCGCATGCTGCTCTTCTCTTCCAGATGCTCTGGGGAGGGCTGGATATTCAGGCCAACAGGACAATCCGACTGCGGGATGAAGAGCTGGCCTCCCTGCGCCCGGCACGGCAGTTCATGCGGATTTTAGAGGATGAAGTTCCCAAAACACCAACAGAGATTGAGCAGCATCTGAGATATTATTCACTGACTGACACTCCCTTGCCTCTGTCAGAGTTTGACCGTCTCCTTTTCACCAGTGTTTACTGTGCCTATCAGCTTCGCTCCGTGCAGGGTCTGGATAAAAATCTCTGGATTAGTTTTTTCTCTCAGCTGGTCGATGAAATGTTTCGTGATCTGTGCAAGGGGCTTTGCCCTGCAAATACCACCCTCCTCCTGGCTTCCTGGCCCTGGAAGGAGAAGCCTTTACATTTAGCATCCCTGAAACATTTCTATCATTCTAACCTGGCCAGGACCAAGAGAGACACTTAATAAGGGAAACTGCCGTAAGGAAAGGATACAACTGACATCGGCTGCATCCTTGGTTGTTTTGAATGCTCTCCACGTTATTCAGGACTTTGTACAAATACACCACACCTTTTTGTCCTGCTTTCTGCATTGCGCTGGCAACCCTCTAAGGATTTATACGCAAGCTTTTATTTTGAAATGAAATAGGACAAAACTAAGAGT